TATCTGTTCTACAATTTTGAAATCCCAGTCTATCCCTTCCCACCCTCTACCCCGCCCCCCTCCCCAGTTCTTTTTTGATCCCTCCTTCCGGGATATACAACTCATCTAGGGAATCATCTTCTGTAATTCTACAACCAGACTTCCTGTGAACAAAGCAAACAGCACCTACAAGTACAGGAAAGCCCACTCCATTTCACAGAAGTGTTCTGGGGCTTTTGACACTGCAGGAAGGGAATTTTTATGTTGTGATATTTGGCATTCAAAATGTAAAATGCCTTGTGTCATTATACCACTAAGTGATGCAAATAGGTAATGCATTTTTTTCCCAGAATTGTATCTCACCTTCATTAAAGACAAAACCTATTTTTCTCTTGTTAAAAAAAATATTTCTGCTTTTCAGACTTATCATGTGCTTTTATTCTGGCAGATTTGAATGTTATATTTTGAGAAATGCATATTGTATTCCTCTGGCTATTGTTCTAAACTTAAATACTTCAGTTCCTTTTTGTTTTTGGTACTTTTCCTCTCAAAGAGGGAACATGCCTTAAGGCAGTAGAAATTCAAAGATGTATATATTTTTTTCACATGACAGAATCGTATGTTTTCTCAACATTACAGTTACTTATGCACAGACTTTAAGAGCTAAATGGGACATTAGAGAATTTAGTTCAACCCCTCATTTTATTTATTTATAAATAAGAAAACAGAAACTCAAATAAGTGACGTAATTTGCTTAAGTCATGGATTAGAAGATCCAAGTGTCAGGAACATTCATTGTAAGCAATAGAAACCTATTCTGACTAACTTAAATTCTGTAAAAAATGTTTTCTGTTTCTTTGTTTCACCTAAATGTAAAGTTCCAGGGATGAGTCGGGCGTGGTGGGCTGCAGGGGTCAGTTGGATCATCTTACCTCTTTTCCCGTTCTCAAGGTTCTCCCTTCTCTGTGTCCGAGCCCTTCTCTAGCAGGCTATCTCCCTTGTGGCATCAAAGATGACCACTGGCAGCCTTATAATCCAGAGAAAAGAAGTTCCATCTCTCCTATTGCCTATCAATTTCTGATGAAATGGCTCTGATGGTTCCTGCCTGAGCCACCTGCTCTTCTCTTGACAAATCGCTGTGTCCAGGGAACTGGCTTTTCTGATTAGCTAGTGGGGCGTGGCAGGGGAGGAGGAGGCCAGAGCCAAGAAGAAATTTAGAGCTCTTAGAAAAACTTGAAGTTCATAAAAGAGAAAAAAAGTGGAAACTTTTTAGGGATGAGGATAGGCGACTTGGAACGTGCACAGGATGGTTGGAAGCCAGAAAGAGATGAGCCAGGACCTGTGTACTGAATAAGAGAAAACACCATCCAGGAAGAGTCTCTAAGCTGCACCTACTCAGAAAAAAGCACAAGCTGAGGTTTCCAGTCCTTTAGATGAACAAGTATTGAACACGAGGGTGAACTCAGAGAGGATTTTGTTTGCCCACTTCCCCAAAATACAAGCTGAGAGAAACTGCTCTGGACTTGGACTGAGAATAGAAGCCTGATGACATAGGAAGTGAGGGAAACTTACTCAATATGTTTAAAAGTTAACTTTATTTTTATTGAGCTTCTTCTATGTGGCTGATGCTTTTCTAGGCAGAAGGGATTCCAGGGAAACAAGGCAGAAACAGTCCTTTTTCGCATGGAACTGAAGTTCCAATGTGAGGAGATAGACAATAAAGAAACAAGAAAATAATTTAAGGAAATAAGATGAATGGAGATAGTGTTATGAGAGAAATAAAACAGGATGATATGATACATGGTAAACAAATGGGGATGGGGTCAACGGATAATTTAGACGTAATTGGATTTTTTTTTAAATTTTGTTTTTAGCAGAAGTATAGTCAGTTTACAATGTTGTATCCATTTCTGATGTATGGAACTGGTTTCTACAAAGATCACTCTGATTTCGGTTGACTTCATAAAGCAGATCCTGCAAGAGAAACTGCTGACCTCACTTTGTCCTTTCTGGGCACCAGGTGACTAATAGTCAGGAGGTTGCACCCAGTCCAAGTATCTGTATTTAACAAATATAAAGGAGCTTTTGAACTTGGATTTAGTGGGTATGACAAGAGAAATTTTTTAGATCACAAGAACCCAGTTTGTAAAAAGAACTACGTGCAACTTCCCAAACATTTACAGCAAACCTTAGAAGTTACGCAGTAAGTTCTCCTGTGAATCTGAAGGCTCTCTCATTAATAACCTGATGAAAGCCCCCAGTAGTCTCTGTGCCGGCCCACAGTGGGCCCTCTTGGGTCCTGTGTTTCTCCTGCTGCAGAGCCCTGCTAGGACTGGGGGCCGTTTCTCATTTCTGGTCCCCAGAAATGACTGCGTGATTCTACGTTGATGTCCGTCTTTGGGGAGCTAGTCTGTGTTCTGGCAGCTGCATGATCCTGACATACTGCTTCAAGTGGGGAAAACTTCCAAGCCTTTTGAGAGGAAACATATTTCTCCTGCTTGGTGTCCCCTGTGTGTTCCCCCAGGAAGCTTTCTGTGTAGCATTAAATACCCTCTCCCCCCTTCCCCAGCCAGTGGCTAGGAATAGGACAGTTCTGTGACCTCTCAGTCACTTCATGCCCCACGTTATGTCTTGGAAAGGGAAAGGCAGAAAACTGTTAAGAGCTCGGTGTGCCGGAACGGAATTTTTGGGAGTGAAACCCTGGTGCGTAGTTGTTAGCATGCTAAGGTACACAAGGATCAGCTAATCCGACTGGAGAGCTGTTTTCACTTTAAAGGGAGGACTACCTAGATATTTAGGGATTCCCCACCATAAAGAATTCACTGTATCAAAGCTTCCATTAGGCTGCCTATGACTGTCAAAAATGGTAACTGACTCGGGCCCTTGTCCTACTAACTAGTTACTCTCTTAGTGACAGAAAAGAAAAAATGAACTTGGATTTAAGATATCCTGGCCAATGTGCTATTTAAATGTTAAAATGTATGTTGGTTATTTTCTCCCCAAATTATACCAATTACTTTATTTGCCGTTTTACACATCTAGTATCTCAAGGAAGAAAATGAATACCTTAAGGCAGAATCGTATCTTGTAGAAAGAATTTAACAGCAGCAGTAAGCCTGGGTTCTGACAGCTACTAGATAAATTTGGAAGCCAGGAAAGATAATCAAGATACTAAGACACATGTTTTCATCAGTCACTTTGTAAAAGTTGCGAGGTAATGGAGCTCATTAGAGGGAGGAATGTATTCCATGCAGCTGTATTAAATACTCAAGCATCCTGGAAGCTAGTGATATCATGTGCTTCCAGTTTTCTAGGAAACTTTACCAGCTCAGCAGACTAGAAGCATCGTCCAAAGTTCTCGTGCTTGCCAAGTTCGATAGACTTTAAACATATCTGTAAAGATAAAGATACTGGAGTAAAACCAGTTTGCAAGTCAACGAAATACAGGAGGACATTCTTGTAATTGTTTTCTCACCTCATTAACAAAAAAAGCATCCCATAGCGTAAAAAAAAAAATCTCAGTAGATTGATACTGGAAAATTCAAATGACCATTTCCTTCATAGTCAGTAGTTAATTCCCTGGTGAATGTAGATGAATTTATATGATTTGAAATACAATTCATTCAAAACACTGCATGCTTATACTTTGGAATAGTTAGTCCCATGAGGTATGAACTCAGACATATTTGTCTTCTTCAAAGTGAAACAAGAGTTCTGATTACCTTTTACTAGGAAAAGAATGGAGTTGGCAAGAATATACATAGTAACATCATTTATCCTTGTTACCTTAGTGATTAGATTCTTAATACAGATGCACAGCTGAAAAACAGTTCTACGGAGTAGACAGAGATGCTAACTAGACAGCCTCAGAGTCACGGGGTATCCTTGAAAGAGAGAGCCCTCTCCCCAGGGAAGTGTTTACTTAGCATTTAGTAAAGGTCATGGAATGCCAGTATCCAAACCTTAGTTAAAGATCTCCTCTCGACTTTCAAACTGATAATGACTTTGTACATTTTGCTTAGGTTCTTGCTTGATAAAATATTTTCATTTCCCTGTAAGTTTGATCCTTTTAATGAGTCTCTGTGAATTTAGATGTGCCTTTGTGCTCACAGTGACAAGAACTGTGCCCCTTTCACTGATAACCAATTAGTAGGTTGTAAAACCCCCTTGAAACCGTGGAAGTTTTAAGCACTCCATAGCTTTCCTTCCTGATTACCCCACGTATGAGTCTCAGAAGGATAGAAGCACCCGTGGGTCCCAGACTTGTGTGGTGTGATCACTGTCTTCTGCTTGTCGTCAACGTGGTGCTGGAACTTGAGTCTTGAGTAAATTTTAATGTGGTGGGATTATAATAATTTATTTTAACTGCTGATGGATAATGGCTAAGTAGCAGTGGATTGAGATTTATGAAAGCGGTATTTAGTTTCCTGGGTTTGACCCAACTCTGAACTTGAATAAGGCTTTTATATATTCTGTAAAACACTGGTAATATAAATAGCTTATAGTTTACCTTCACAAAGTTAAAATGTATGTGAAGATAAAATGAAAAGAATTTGAGTTCTTAGAAGAAAACTGATATTCAAATCTGTGGTATCTTAGAAATTTCAGAGTAATGGGAGCCAACTATGGAATTAACTAAAACCCACAGATTTGTGTTGGGGGAGCTCATGAGAACACAGTCTCATTAAAAAAAAAATACTGCTTGGCCAGAGAAGACAAATAGAAGATATCCTAATAATATGATATGAGTTCATGGCCATCTTTTTCATGAATAGGTAAAAAAATATACATGTATATATATGTATATATATATACATATATACACACACACATATATATATGAGCAGAGAAAACCTGATAAAAGGAAATTTGGTAAAGGAATTGATTATTATTTAAGAAAAAAATTCTAGTTTATTGCTGACCAAGTGTTTTGCAACTGCATTCTTATTAAAGCAATTTAATTGATTAAAAGTTGAAAATCAGAAAATTTCCACAACTGAATAGTTAAAAACTTTATTGTTCTACTCTAATTTAAAAACACATTGACTTTCTAAGAAACTGTGCAGGTCATTTCTTTTGGGATTCAGGACTGCATTTCTATTTTATTGTGCTTTATCTGTTACTAAAAATTAATATTGAATTGAAAATAAATTTCAAGTGAAAGCATTGTGATGAATATTTAGAAAGTTCTCCAGCAATGTACTGTTTTTTATTTCTTGCAGGCTTGTACAGCATATGTGGATTTTATGATTTCTGTGGCCAAATTGATTCGCAAGGAAAAAGGACTGCCTGTGGATGAAAATAAGCTTTCCTTGGAAATGAATAAAGTTATGGAATTGGAAAAAGAAATTGCCAATGTAAAACACATTTTCTCTGATACACTGTATAATGGCAACCACTTTTTGTGGCTTTCTCCTCTCTATCATAGTTTAAGGGTAAAATGTACAACCCTTACTTAGCCAAATGATAAAAATGCATAGCTCAGTAATGGATCATTGACTTCAAGAGGACCTTTGAATCTGTGGAATTTTATAGTAAACCAGGTTCTAGACATCCAGGAGACATAATAAATTTGACAAATATTAAAATAGAAAATATAATGACCTATTATAAGTGTATTACATCAAGATCATAACTATTTATAGTCAAACTGTTGTTAAGATGCCCTTAAGAGGCAGGACACGCTTGATTGCTAACTATTCAGCAAAGCTGTTTTAGTTTGATATGTACGATGTTATTTTATTTTATTTTATTCTGAAGTTTAAGGTGACCACAGAAACTGTCTCTATCTTTACTAAGAAGTATTAGCCCCTGAACATGACCACACTAGTGTGATGCCACTGAGTTCAGACTGTCAGGCTGCTTAATTAGCTCAGGGGAGATTCAACATGAGGAGTTTATCAGCAAAGCCCAAGGATGTTTTTCTGAGTTTTCTCTAGTTCCAAGTAAACCCTTAGAGTCTGAGTTGGCACATTCTTGTCTGATGTTCCTCTGACGGGGACTGTGGTCTCAAGAGTGAACTTTGTCTAATCAGCATCTGGGTTATTGATTGAACTTGTGGTCAGTTTCAGTCTAAGGATCCACAGAGCTCTCTGACATTGCAAACAACAACCTGCAATCCTAAATCCCCATCTGCGTGCCACTGCCATCAGAATCTTGAAGACTGAAGAGCTTTGAGGCATAATTTTAGCTTTTCTGGGGCTACGTGAAACCAAAAATCTCCAATCAGAACCAGATTTTGCTTGGAGCTGCAGCTGAATGAATGACAGTTTGATGGGTTACATGTGGTTCTGTGTTGGAAACAGAATTATTAGAGGAGAGCAGTTTATTGCCCTGGGTTTTTATCACTGTACCTTCCCAGCCTGTGTTCTCCTTTGATCAGTATCAGCTCTGTGGTAGTTGTATCTTACCTCAGGATTCTTTGTATGTATTTTCTCTCCTCTCTTGGACTCTGAGATTGTGGTGGGGTCTTAGTCATCTTTGAATTACCTATGTATCTCTAACGGTGTCCAGCATGTTATTCCATGCAGGTGTTACATGCATAATTTTTAAATAAATATGTAAAGAAGACCTAAAAGAGAAATTGGAGCCATTGTCACTTGAGAAGTAGCTCCCACTTTTATTTTTGTCCCTTCTCACTTAAAATTGCTTTTACTCCTTTCAACCACTAGTTGAGGAGTGGTTATTGAAATTTTCTTTTTTGATTCAGAAAAACAAACAAACAAAAAACCACATTCATAATAATACTGGATCCTGTTGATAGCACCAAACTTGTGAGGCAACATGAGAGGACAGTCAGAAAAGTAGTTGCTAGCACTCTCGTCAGATAACTTGCCACCTAACTGTGCTATGTACTAGGAATTTTCTCTGTCTTACTTGCTTTGAATTCTTGTAGAAATCATTGTGCTTTTTTTTTTCCTGTCTGAATTTTAACTGGGACCCTGAAAGGTGGTAGTGGGAGACAGAGTATTAGAGAGATAAATTGGAGATAACTATTTTAGAAAGTCACTACAATGTGAAACAGTCACAGACACAACTGAGCTGACCATTAGCCACACAGGGAAAGAGGCCTGCAAGTATTGTGTATGGCGTTTGACAGTTATCAGAATGCAAAAAGATTTTTGAAGAAATTTATACTCGACACTGCAGCCAAATCTTGGTAATTGCTAGCTGAATGTATTTAATATGTCTTCTATTTGTCTCTTCCTCTTGATATGACAAAATAAATTCCCAAACAAATACAGAAAAGACCTTATATATAATTATGCTGTACCTATCCTATGTTTCTTTTTACCTTATGTATAGTTATATTTTCCAGAAGAGTTCTTAGTCTAAAATAACGGTTGAAAATTAAATCCATAGGCTACAACTAGATCTGAAGATCGAAATGATCCAATGCATCTTTATAACAAAATGACATTAGCCCAGATCCAAAGTAATTTTTCACTAATGATCAATGGGGAGGTAAGTAGCAAGTTCTATGTACTCTCTTATTGTGCCATTTCCAAAATTAAAAGGTTGAAATGCAGTTTGTTAAACTTCAATGATTTATTTATTGAAATGAATTGAACATCAAAATGAATTTAGATGACACCAACCATTTGACTTCACGAAAAGATCTGAAAAAAAACTATTTGAAATCATTATATTTATATTTAGTCAGGGTGAATTTCAAAGATAAAAGTCCTTTCCAGGCAGCTGTGCAATAATATTAGGAACTATCAGAAAAAAAGTGTTTGGAAATATCAAAACTGGAAATCCTTCTGAAAGACCATTATATAGCTACTGGAGTTGGACAGTTAAATAATAAAAGTACCAAATTTCTTTTTAACTCCAAAAAAGGATAATTTACTCATAGAACTTGCTGTGTTCTCATCAAAGCCATCTATGGGAATGTTCAGAGCAATAATCGAAAAATAGAACAAAAGAAACAGAAAATGTCTGTAGGTTCCATTTATAAACATCAATTGACATTTTTTTGCTTAGTTGTAATTCCTTAGCTAGTATCTAATAATCTCTTTTAAAGCTATGCATGTATTCTTATATACTAGCCCATGATTGGGAAACGAAGCAACATTCATAGTGAATCTACAAACCACCACATTCAGTGATGGAATTCCCTTTGGAATCGCAGTAAACGAGGACTTCTTAAAGGCGTAACTCATTGAATTAGGAATTTCTTACATAGAACTTTTAATATAATACGTGTTTAATAAATATGTTTTGAAAGAATGATCCAAACCACCAAAGGAAATCAGGAAATTACATAATGTGCACCTCATACTTAATAAGCAATCAGTGTATTTATATATATATATATATATATATATATATACATACACACACACACACACACACACACACATACATACATTATGTATTTATATAATCATGGAGCCCAAGATACTGGCAAATAAACATTCTCGAACCCTGAAATGTGGCATTTCAGCAAGATTTCCATAACCTTCACTTCTGTTTTTTCTTATATCCATTGGTGGTTGAATAACTACAATTCCCATTTAAAGAATAATAGATAGGATTCCATCTTTTGGCAGCTCCAGACCCAGCTCCTGAACTGTTAAAAACTGCACACAGATAGACCCAATATTGATAGCTTAAAATGTACTTTGTTTGTCTTTGTTGGACCATCTATGTTGTGCCATACCTCTGCTGGGACAATAGTGTGCTTTCATTTACAGCACGATCTCCACTGAGAGGTATTACTGTGTTCAAATGGATTGTTTATTAATATCCACTTTTAAAAAATAAACACTTTATATTCATTTAAATTTTTACGTAAACCTAGGAAACTTTGTTTACAGCTGAATTTCTTTTTCTTGTTTTTTTAATGTTCGTTAAACCAAGAATATGACATTGAGCCTAATTTCTAGCTCTGTGTTCTCTACACTTAGAGGCTTTGCTTTTGCTCTTAAATGGTTGGTTTAATTCTGCTGTTTAAATAATCATGCTGCAGAACTAATTTTTATTCAAAAACTAATTGAATCAATTGAAGAAAAACCCCAAATAAATATCAAACTGACCACTGTGATAATTATATAGTGATGCAACTGACACTGTAACCATGTCTGACCCTTTAACCATGATTGAGTCTTGGAACCAAGGAGAGAAATCCATTATTGCTGAATGTTTTGTGCCTGCTTTTTTTTCCAGCCATTCAGCTGGTCAAATTTCACAAATGAAATCATGTCAACTGTGAATATTAATATTTCAAATGAGGAAGATGTGGTTGTTTATGCTCCAGAATATTTAATCAAACTTAAGCCCATTCTTGCCAAATATTCTGCCAGGTAGGTATGTCATAGTGACCATGTCCTCAAAGTTTACATTCAATATCACTCTTTAGAAGCTTTGCAGCCTCATCTTTTCTGTTGCTGGGTGGTGGGTTTTTTTATACAGAGATCTTCAAAATTTAATGTCCTGGCGATTCATAATGGATCTTGTAAGCAGCCTCAGCCGAACCTACAAGGAGTCCAGAAATGCCTTCCGCAAGGTGAAGAAAAAATCTCTCTTTTCTTAAGATTTAAAGCATAAGGAGATACATGGTTATGAAGGCTTGCCATGTACATTGCTAGACTGTGGTAAACTTTGTCAAGAGACAAAATACCAAGTGTTGGTCATTTTGACCATGTTTAAGCTATGTTGCCCAGGAAAGCCAGTTTTCATGGGCTCTGCTGTCCTAGGATTGTCTACTCTGGTGCCATGATTGAATTGCCCTGGAAGAAGGTGCATTTGGTTATTTGAGCAGTTCATGAAAGAATACTGGCTTGCTTTTTGCTTGTGCTAAAAGTAATTTCAGGGATGTCTATCTCAATTAATTTGCTTTTCAGCTGCTCATAGCACACTAGATATGCAGACAGATGGACTACATTGATGTGGATAATCCACTGAGAATATACGTACCTGGAGATAACTTTAAGGCCTTTTGTTAGGCTGTAGCTACATTATTTAAACAGTCATCATTTTAGCCCTGTTGTGAGGTGACAGGGCAAGGGGGATTGAGGAAGGAGAAATTCTCCCAAGGGTATTGGTTGGTGTCATGAAAAGGAAATATCGCTCTGATTGATTGAAATTTTTAGTTTTTATCCTTTAAAAGAAAACATAGACGTATTTTTTAGATTAAAGAATGTAAAAATGGTCTTTTGCTAAATTTCCCTTATATAAGTCAATCCCTTTACTGGTACTTCAATTTGTACACATGCAGTTCTTCTAAGTGCTGGAAGTTCAGCAAAAAAATTAAAAAACAGGAATGTGTTTTCTTGATACCAGATCTCTCCCACGTTACATTTATTGAACATTACTTCATACTTATGTTTACGCAGTGGTAGCAGTGTTATTTTGTTTTTTGAGGGGGATGGGGTTATCATCTTTTTCTAAAGCCATCTAGAAGGATATTAACTTGTAATAGCCAAAAGTTCTACTAGGACATGCTACTGAAAGTATACCTTATTTCCAGATCATATGTGAGGAGTAATTCAATTGGATTACATTTTATCCTATGCATGGACATGGTGCCTTGTGAGGAGATGCAATGAATGTTTCAAGAACTTAGGAGACATAAGGACTAGAGTCCTGTGACGTCTGTGCTCTGACCACCCTCCAGCCGTCTACTCCTGGTCAAATGTCGTTTCCTTTTTCTCTCCCACAGGCTCTTTACGGCACAACATCAGAAACAGCAACTTGGAGACGTTGTGCAAATTATGTCAATGGGAACATGGAGAATGCTGTGGGAAGGCTTTATGTGGAAGCAGCATTTTCTGGAGAGAGTAAACATGTGGTAATGTTTTCACACGGTACTCTTTCAGAATTTGTTCACTGATGAGCAATTGCAGTAGTAGTCCATAATTTGGCTAAAATTTTATTAATTGGCAGAGAACTTCTGAATCACAGTTTGCGAGTGTTTCCCAGTAAATCTCATCCTCCCTTCACCAAGGGCCTGTTTATGTTTCTGATCCTAATATTGTTTAACTCCAAACCAACTGTCCATTTTCCAGAAACAGTGTATTCACAATCCCTAGTCATCTCTTCTAATGATAGTCATTTATAAACTCTTCTATTTGTAAAACTGACCAAGAATTAGTATTTTCTTAAAAACTAGAAAATAAGCCAGGGTTTATTTGAAGTGTAAGACATGTACTTTCTTTTTTTTTAATTGTTACTGAAATGAAGACAGGGAACTTTAAGTCATGGTGAAAGAATCTATTTAAATGCTATTTCATGCTTAACTACTACTACTAATGACAGCTAATATTTTATGTTAGTTCTTTTTTCATGATAATGGAAACTACTACATTCTAAAGATGATTTTTATTAATGTATACATTAAGAACAATTTAATCATTAGTTTTGATAAGTGCAGTGTTGCTTTAAAAATATAACTATCCGTTTATATATCCATTTGTTTAGATCCACAGTTTGTCTATAAATTTACATTTATTTACATATCATTGAATCACTTAAAGAGAGCTTATAGCTCTATTGTTTTAAATTTGTGTTACAAAAAATTAGTGGCCTAAATTTGTCTTCTGTTCTTTTGGTTTGAGGTTGAGGATTTAATTGCACAGATCCGGAAAGTTTTTATTCAGACTTTAGATGACCTTACTTGGATGGATGCTGAAACAAAAAAGAAAGCTGAAGAAAAGGTAAAAAGCAAGGCAGGGCTAACTCTCAAGGGAAAATCTCTTTATAAGAAAAGTTTAACTGTTAAGAAATTTGGGGGAAAAAATATAGTAATCAAGGATTGCATAAAATAAAAACAAGCTCCTTTAAGATGTAGTATTTTCAGGAATAGTTTTCATGGATGAAGATTTTTTTTCAATGAGTTTCATCACTTATTATTTCTTTGTAACTAGCTCCTACTCGCCATGTTCAACTCAAAACTTTGAAATATCTCCAGTTTTCCTTTATTCTTTTAAGAAGTCTTCAGAAAACAAGAGGAAAATCTTGTGTGAACAAGATTAAAAGATACTATCTATCAGTCGTTCGTATTTTTCCTCCTTTTAAAAAACATATTTAAAAGACCTCTACCAATGTCTAAAAATATCCCCTCAATTTTTAATGCACATTTCCAGCTACAATTTTTTAAACATACCCAATTTAGTTTTTTATATGATCTAGGGAGAAAAATACTAAACTTCTACTCAAACAAATGTAAAAGTGGTGCATTATTTGAGTGCTATAAGGTGACCTACAGTTAGAGGGATATGGAAGGAGTTTTTAATAACCATTCCTGCTTATCCCATTGTGCACCTTTTATTGGGACTTTTAATATCTTGCATTAGAATAAAGGTGAGATGTCTAAGGAACTCTCAGGTTTAGATTTACTATGGTCATTGATAACTACATAAAATTCGAAGAAACATGTCCAATGAAAACTGTGTGCTTTATGTGCAGTATTCGCCTGTAACCTGATTATTCCTCTGTAGTTAGGGAAGCAGGAAAAACAGACCATTCTTTGAACTTACACAGAAAGAGTCCCTAAATCTATTATAATAAGAGACTCAGGCTGTAGTCTAGTTCTCTTTGAGGATTAAATCACATACAAGGCGTATCTTTTTCAGCTATCACAGAGACCTGGGTGGGTCAGGTCTAGAATTTAGGCACTATAGTATAGCCATCTTTCCACCACTTTGACTGGGTCCTCGAAAGTTCAGACTGGATTTTCTCTTTTCATGTTCTAACTATCATGACATGGTTCTGTTTGATGTAGCCAATTAAACTGTTCTAGATCATCATTTCCCAAGGTAGTGTCACCAAACACTAGGCCTGCAAGTTGCTCTATGAGAGTCCCATAGTCGAAAGAGTTTAGGAAATACTTCCCACAGGAAGGCTTCCCTGATCCCACCCTAGACTAGGTTACATGCCTCCAGGGTGTGATTTTATGGCACTATACATCACACTTGAGAGTTAATACCCATTTTATTGCCTACCATTGACCTTTATAGTTACTCTCCAGGGGCAGAAATGTTTGCCTACCATGCATTCTTAGCCCTTTTCAAAGTACCTGGCTTGTTGTAGACCCTTGAACACCAGTTGAATGAATAAATAAACAAATTATCCTCTTGGACACTTACAATTACCTAATTTTAGAGTCTAAGAAGTCCTTCAGTGAAGAAGCCTGCTTAATGTTTTTGTCACAGGACTTACCCCAAATATTTGACAATATATCCTCTGTAGTACCTCTTATTTCCATGGAGTTTGTATTCCTAATACTTTGGAGGAGGGGAAATGTCTTTTAGAAAGTAAAGTACCGTCGAGAAGGGGCCAATGTAGAAAGAAAATGGGGCTTGGCCTAATTGACTTAGTGACACATTTGTCTGCCCTACTGGGGAAATCCTGGCTTATGAAACAGATTTATAACGAAACCACATGCATTTGATGGCAAGCCAAATAACTCAGAGATGCAGGCTTAAAATCCAAGAAAAATTTAAATTAGTTAAATTATTTGAGAGCAATGTGATGTGATAAAATCAAAAGTCAAATATCTTTGTGAAAAATGAGAGAAATTAAAAAATGGAAATAGAAATAGCAAGTAGTTAAATAAGTGGTGATAATGAAACAATAAAAATAAACAATTTTAAAATAATAAAAATAGAAGTGGTAGTAAGCAAGAGGTAAATGTGGGTTGATATAGCAAGGAAAACCCTGTTTTTTACTCATTTAACTAATGTCATTCATTTAACTGGGAAGATATGTACACTGGCTTTGGAGACCAATGGAGAATATAAAAACTCCAGGAACCAATATTCAGGAGGAATATTAGCACTAAACCTGTAAGCCCACATCTGCTTTCTCAGCCAAATCAGTGAAGTGGAAAGATAATTATAAGCTGCCAGAATGGAAGTTCTAAATATTACCCCTCCGTACAATGGAAGAAAAAAGCCTTTCTGAGAAGAAGTTCATAAAAGTATAATACATGTGGAACACTGACTTGTCAGTTTGCATTTTGGTTTTCTTGGGCAAGCTGCAGCCTATGAGAATGGGGTATGAGAAGGTAAATTTCAGAACTATTTTTTGTTTATTTGGAAACCTAGGAAGAAGCCACTGCAAAGATCTCTGCTTAAGTGTTGTCAGATACTCTTTAAGTAAATCGTCTGGATCACGTTATTCAATTGCCAGTCAAGGGCAGATTATAATGTCTGCATTTAAAAGTTCATAATCATCCTCACATTCAGTATTATAATTCTCATAGGCCTTAGCAATTAAAGAAAGAATCGGCTATCCTGATGACATTCTTTCAAACGACAGCAAACTGAACAATGAATACCGCAAGGTAAGTCTCTGTGAAGACTGCACTGATGGCACCTGGGACTGGCTGGAGTGGCGGCCAGAAATTACGTGACATAGCCTACGCCCAGAGGTCTTAGTACGTAAAACCTTTGCACTGAATCCACAACTCTGTTTCTTTTAGTTTTAGCCTTTTGTTTCATTAGCCTGGTCTGTATTTGATTTTTGTTATTTTGGTTTCCATATATTCCACTTTAAGAGTAGTAGGAAAAATCTGGCGTGTTTTAAAGAGCCATAGACATTTCAATTTAAGGCAGTGCTCAGGCTCCTTATCTCATCTTTCACATGCCTCCAGGTTTCCTTCCACTTTCTAATAATTCCTCTACTGGATAAACCAAGTCATTCCTTCTCTATTTAAAAAAAAATCTGTTATTTGAAAATGGGGAACTATTTTATTCCCTCTAGTAATGTAACAATGAAAAGAAAACAGTTGATTGAAGTCACTACAGTATTGATTTCAGACTCAGCTGAGGGTCCTGTTGCTGACCTTATGGTCACCACAACTACTTGAAACCCTGGTGACAAGGTGATCCTTGCCTAGCTGCAGAGACGACAGCGACTTCTAATCTGTTGATTGCTGCCTAACACAGGAGTTTGCAAGGCACAGTATCCTTTCTTCATTTTTCCATTTGCAGAAAAGCTTTATTTATGTATTTATTTGTTACTATTTTTAGTGAGCTGGCTGTAGCATGTGAGTCCTGGGGCCCTTGGGGCAGGAGTCTACTGGCTAAGCACATAGACTCGCAGCTAAACTGCTTGGGTTCACATATCAGCTAAACCACTCACTGACTAGCTAAGAACATAAACTCAAATTCCAAGGGTTCAAATCTCAGCTCCATCACTTATTAACTTGGGCAAGAGACTTAAATGTCTGTGCCTCAGTTTACCCAACTTTAAAATGGTGATAACAGCTCATCTTTCTAAGATTATTATGAAGATTAAAAGAATGTGATATATAAAGTGCTTAGAAGAGTGCCTGGCACATGGTATGTACTAAATAAGAATTCGCTGTTATCTCATCTGTCATGCAAGGATTAATATCAATATAATAAAGCCTGTCTGACACTTGGTTTTATTTGATTAACTACAAAAGAGTAGACTGAAGTAGTGATTCAGCCAGAGCAGCAGTGACCTGTAATACAGAACTAGGCTAATCGGAAGTAAATTCTCTGGTTAAGTTTTAATGCTCTCTGTTAACTTTATTAAGTGGTAGAACTTAAGAAAATATCTTCTGTGTTATTTTGCAAAAATTTTAAAGATACTGGTTTTAATATCTTCTCCAAATCTTGTATATTAATATAGTTGCGCTACAAAGAAAATGAATACTTTGAGAACATAGTTCAAAACTTGAAGTTCAACCAAAATAAACAACTAAAGAAGCTTCGAGAAAAGGTGGACAAGGATGAGTATGTATATTCCAGTTTTCTAATGGGTTCATGCAGAAGAGGGCCTTTGCTGGATTAAGAGAAAAAACATGACTTAAAACAGTGTTGAAGGTGTAATGTCCTCCTTCTGTTGACTATGTCCAAGAGCATCTACAAATATTACTAAATGAGCCTCAGGGATTTAACCAGACTTAAAATTTTTTCAGTAAAGTGTCCTCAGGCTACCTTTGGTTTCTTCTCATATTGTTGCCTGTCTGTGCACAAGGCTCTCAGTAACACTTTAGCCTGAGTAACTGTAGTTCCTGCAGGTCTTCCCTGAGGCTACAATTACTGGACTCAGATTTATCGTCTGCCCTCAGCCCCATGTTTTTTCTATCAGTCAGTCATCCCACAACTCCCTCCCCTTCCTAGAGTGCTCCCTGGAACACTTCTCTCAATCACATGGTGGCCAAATATGAGATGCCAGGGATCACCCTCATTCTTAGCCTTTGATGCTGTTAATCTCTGCTCACTAGTGGTGGTGTTACTTCATAGTAACTACTAGTTTAGCAGGGGGTTTTCTTCAATTAAATGGATGTGTCTAATATATTTATCAACATATGTGTTTGTGCACATAAATATGTGTCTAACATATTTATCAACGTATGTGTTTGTGCACATAAATATGTGTCTAACATATTTATCAGCGTATGTGTTTGTGCACATAAAAGTCAGCTGCTAATGTTGACTTTTTCCCCACCAGGCTTTTAGCTCCTAGGGAACGGGGGACCAGTCAGCATAGCGCTGAACACATAGGAGGTTTTCAGTTAAAACTGAATTAATGAATGAGTGAGTAAGTGAAAAGTAAATATACTGACCTGATTTTTCTGGTAACTGACACAGTAACATGCTAGTGAGGTGCTTGGTTCATTCATGCATTCATTGATTCTTTCATTCGTTTATTAAGCTAGTATTTTGGAATACTGACCAAGTCCAGGTGTCATTTGGAACTGGGAGAATCAAAGGTGAACTTTGATTATATTTTGTTACAACAGCAGAGGGTAGGAAAGACTGATATGACAAACTGTATCCCAGGAGGGAACTGTTGTGCCTAGAGAGGTACAAAGTACAGAGGGGCTGTTTGATAATAGGACTGTTCTCAGTAACCAAGTACAGGTTGGACAAAATTCCTAATATGGAAATGCCAATACACTTTCATCCCTAACAACGTTTTGAACCCTTCAGGTACCCTGACAAAGAGACTGATTTCTTTTTCTGACTTTTTAAAAAGGTACTGGAGCTGATGTTAGTTGTCTGGTGCTAAACACAGGGTGGCAAATGTCAGAACGTTTAATGTCCCAGGTGGGAAGGGAAAAAGGAGAACAGGTACATACAGTTGGTGTTATAATCAGTTGTTGTATCTTATCTCTAGAAACCAACAAAAAATCATCAAAAAAAATACCGTATAGGTAAATTTATAATCTGAGAAGCTTCTTAGAAGTCTGAATATTTTTATTTCTTAACAATACATAGACTTACATTTAATGATTGTTAGTTCTGCATAAAATATCTACTTACAAATATCATCAAATATGCTTTCTGAAAATAGCTAATATAATCTGCACCCACCTGACACCAGAAGATTTCTTCATAATTTTAAAAGTAGTTGTTGAATTATTGCTTGATGTTTTCTTTGGAAGTTAACATAGTCCCAGTTCCATAATCATTTGTAGGATAGTGTGCAATTTTCATTCCTTTTCATCATATGTGTTGACTTTCTCTGAGTCCTTTTCTCTTCATGATAAATAATCAAAAGCAAAAATTATATATAATATTTTAATGAATGTTTGCTCAATGGCACGCATAGCTTATTAATTCTTTTCGGATCCTTTCCATGAACTTCCGACAGTCAATCACAAGTGCAGTATAACTTGTTAGGTCTTCTCTGCCACACCAGGCTAGTTTTCCTTCCTTCCCCATCTTCTGCCTGTATGCTGAGGACAAGGGTTCACAACTCTGATTGCACTTTAGAGTCACCTGGGGAGCATTAGCAATAGTGTTGATTCCCCAACCCCACTACCCTAGGTTGTGATGTACTTGCTGATCGGTGGGGACCCTGGTATTAGTATTCTTCTTAAGTACCACCCACCTTCTCAAGTCACACGAACACCTGAGTGTTATTCCTTTTTGCAAGATGATACCTTTAATTTGGCAGTTTATCTTTAAAATTAATTTTTTTTGTCTTCCAAAGTGTTGGAAGTACTTTTGACAACGATTGCATTCAGTCATTAGGACTGCACCCTTTAGGACACAACATAATAAAATCCCTCCTATTTTATTGAGATTTCTTATAGTCAATGATTCTGACTTATTTAGCACCTGCTTTATAGTAATAAAGTCACTATGTTTTCTTTCCTCTTTTATGTAACATCAGGCTCAAGTCCTCACTGTATATTCAGGCAGATAAAATCTATTGCTACTTTGATCACATAGCCAGTAGTTACCTCTCAGAGAATTACATTTTTAGATGCCTAAGTCTTCACTCCCAACATTTTGCAGGACAAATAGGTGTCCATACCCACAATAGATGAGACAGAGATAAGAAAAGCTGTTGATTATAGTAGGGTTATATTGTAGGGTATTACAGAGAAATGATGATGCCTTGAAATTTCAAGGCAGAAATTAATTTAAATAAATTCAGTCAGTTAACCAAATAGTAAACTTCTGGACCTTTTCTCACTCCACATACTGTCACTGGGCAAACTTGTATACTTATTGGCATCTCCTACGTCTTCTCCTATAACCACTGAATATTTGTTTCTGGCCCAGGTCTGTTTGCTGTGCTCCAGATCCAAATGTCTAACTGCCTATGAAACATCTCCATGTAGGTGTTCCTCTAATCCTACAAACTCAGCATTTGCCTTTTTTGGCAAAAATTGATCGTCTTTCTCCCCTTCTCACCCTATTTTCCAACAACTTCCATCTTACTGCTACCAAGAGAGAAACCAGGCACCCACCATCATAGACCGAGACCTTCCTATCATCCCTGACATCTCAGTGATGTCTACTTCAAATCCCATCCCCCCCCAAAAGTTCACATCCTCCAGCTGCTACTTAAACTATTTTATAGGCATTGTGGGGGGAGGTGTGGATCTCCATCTCACCATCTCCATTGTCATGCCTTAATTCAGACATTTCTCATTGTTCACCAGAGTTATTACAATATTTTCCTAATCTTATCATCAGTCATCTTGTGTTCCTTCAGCTAATTCTCCATGCTACTGCATTCACTTTCAAAGACAGAAATTGAGTCATGTTATTTTCTGATGAAAACCTTTAAGTGCATTTGTTTTGCGCATCTCATGAAATGTGTACAAGGCTCTGCATACCGCCCACTGGCTCTGCAGACTTCCTTTAGAGTCACCCTACCTGGCAGCATTGCCCCAAATCTCCGACCAGAGGAATTACTTTAAAGTCATTGCCCCATCTCTTCCTCCTCCTTGCCTCTTACCTTGGACCACCCTTTCTGCGTTTGTTCATTTAACAGAAACCTATACATGGTATGATTCAACTGGAGCATTACACCCTTCCTCACAGAACTTCATTACATTTTTCTCTTCATCTTGTCCCTATGCTATACCTTAAGTGCATTTTAGTCACAGCACCAGTACATTTTATTACGTTTAGCTGGACTGGCCCTTGTTGAAAGCAGATACTATGTGTTTTGTGTCACCAGAGATTAAAATCAGTGAGCAGAATGTAGACCTTTTCTCAATGATGACAGAATGAATGATTGCTAAATTAGCTGATTTGTAATGATGCTAATAAAGTTAACTCAGCCACTAAAGTAAATGCTGACGCAACCAAGCATTTCACCATCATAGTTGGTGAAGATATCCAGCGTGATCTCTGCTGCTCTCTCTGCTTAACAAATTCAAAATAAAGAGGAGGTCGGGAAGTCCGCCTGTGATATGCCCGAGTTAGTCATTTGGCTAAAAGGCCCTCCGTCTGCCCATTCGAGCAGCTGGCAACTGCAAAGGACAAAGATTTAAATATAAAAGGCTCTTGGCTCATGTGGTTTCTGAGTGCCTAGCTTGTGCTTCCAAAAATCATCTCAAACATTATGTTCTCTGCAGATTTAGTGCCAGTTTGTAAAGAATTTCATGTCATGTTTTCAAATAGTAATAGTGCTAAATTGAGAATGTAATATCCATTGGCAAAATTACCTGGCTAGATGTCTAAAATGATTTACTTCCAATAACATTATTATTCACTTAGACTCCAAGGAACAAATATAAACTTCTAAAAAGAAACAATGTACAAGGACAAAATAAAATGAATTCCTTTTCTTATTTTTAGACTTGATGTTATTTTGTTAGTTTCTCAGGACAGAATTTTCTGTCATCTAATTGGGACAGGTAGTGCCAGTGTTTGTAAATCATGACCGTTGAGCAGGTGGGGGTACTTTTCATAAACTACAAAGACATTTCATTGCTGCATCTTTCTTACTGTTGTGCATTGAAATAAAAACAAGTTAACATTAGCAGCAGCCAGCTCAATAAACATTTTATCAAGCAGCTACGATGTGCGAAGCACCGTGCTGAACACTGTAGAGGAAAAAGATAAGAGTAAAACTCATAGCTGTCAGTCTGGTGGAGGAGGCAGGTAACATGAAAGCTGCTGAAATGCAGGGTTAGTTGGGGCTATTACAAGACAGCAAAGTGTGGGGATAGCACTTTTATTAAACCTTTACTTATTAGTGAAATATTCTCTGTAAACAACTTGTCAGCATTTAAATTAACATTGAGGTGAACAGTGGATTCACTTAAAACAGAACAGAATGGCTGGTTCATTTCTGTCTTCCTTATTGCCTCAAGCCTGCTGTTTCTTCCTCATCTGGGCTAATTGGATGTTTGCAAGCCCTTGAAATAAGCAATGCTCCTGAGATTGCCAGCCCAACAGGTGTGGCCCTTTCTTCCTGAAAGGCCAGCACCACCAAAGATGGCAGGACTGTTGGTACCACAGTAGTTTTGCCACAGCAG